TGTGATTACAAACGATTATATTTTTAAATAATGAAATACATCATTGGAGTTTGTGTTAAATGTGCGAACACAATTTGGGGTATCGTTCGCGCGCGCGAGACGAATCGAACCCGATAACAGCAAGATTTAAAAATTTCAATTCGAATAGTGTACAAAATAAAATAAATGAAATAATTTTAAATATATAATTAAAATATATAATTAATTCTAGATTAATTCTCTAGATTCTTATTCTTATAACGTTTAAATTAATAATTTTTTTTTTAATCAATATCTTGCTGATATAGGGGTACCCATTCGATTCGTCTCGAAATTTTTAAGCATTCGCACATTTAATGTAACATTCATGTATAATTTCGCGTATATATAATATATAATATTAATAAATATTATAAAAATATTTGGATACGATTATTTGTGCATGTATTTTATTATACATATATATAAAAACTAATATTCTAAAATGGCGATGTACAATACCTGTAAATAATTATATTATAAATAGTTATTAATACTTGTAAATCCAATATCTGTAAATAGTTATTAATTAATAAAATATATTCGTCCGTAATCATTTTTATCAAAAAGTTAATAAAAGCTAATTACAATATGAAATTATTTGAAATAGAAATTTAGAAAAATAGAAATTTATGCACAATAGCTATATCCATATTCAATCTATTATTAAATCTTTCTGGTACAGACAATAATAATACCAATCCTAATAACATGACAGAACATTTTTAACGAAGAAAAGAAAAAATACATTTCTCTCATCTAAGTATATATTATTTAAATTAATTCAACGTTAAAGAAGCGTACGGCGTTCATTGAATTACTGCCGAAATTATTGCTTTCGGAAATTGCCAGGAAAACCTGGGATTAATTTCAATCTTACAATAAAAATCCCCAATTTTCAACGGGCACCGAATTAGACGAATGGATCTTACAAGAACCGATAAGAAATAATTCTCCATGATGAAAATCGTTTCGTCTTCTCGACGATACGAGCCACTTTCATTAACGTTACCTAACGGATAACGATAAGACTTTTTTTAATAAAACGATCTCGTCTAAGAACGCGAAAAAAACGCGGAAAAAGCACGTTGTTTTCGCAATCGTAATTTATAAATTTATTTAGTATTCGACAGGGTTAACACACGCAGTATGTATGGCTGTAGATGAGCAAAGAGAAGGGACCCATTGACGACCATTCCGAGCAATCGATCGAGTTTTAACTAATTCAGGCCGAATCACTTGACGAAGCACGAAGCAAGAGTGTACGTTACAGAGCAACGTGTGCAAACTCGAACATTCCAGTTAATTGGCATCGGAAGTAGAAACTCGTGACAATAAATGAAATTGGGATTTTATATGAAAAAGTCCAAAAGTTCCGCGAAAACATGACGACGCGAAAACGCGAAGCGTTGACGAAGCGCTTGCCGTCCGCGGCACGTTGACGGCACCGACGACGCGAAAGGGTAGCTTCCCATTCAATCATCTTAAGATTTATCATAAATTTGAAAATTTGAGATAAACCTCAAGGCACCGTTCAGGTACTAAGCCCTCCCACCGCGACAAGGTGTACCCCATGGGAGGGTTATATTATATTATATATAATTTTATATATAATATATAATATATAATATATAATATATAATAATATAATATATAATTAATTTTGTAATATACTAGATAAATTTTAATTCGCAAATATAAACGATAAATAAAAATATAAAAGATAAGAGAAAATCTATTATATAAAGCAATGTTCAAAATAATTGTTAAAAAAAGAATTTGATAATATATGGGACGTTTCACATCACTACCTCACTGTTCGAAGGCCACTGAGGGAATGATCGTAAGTCAAAAATATTACCGCGATACTGTTTATATCGCCAAGGTTGACTATGTAGAGAGAGAATTTGATAATACATGAAACGTCATTACTTTATTGTTCAAAGTTACTGTGCGAATGATCGTAAGTCATAAAACGTCGTTGAAATATTCTATGAATAATTGCCGATTAAGAAAATTTAAAGCATTTGTCGAAATTTATTTAATTTTAATAAGTATCGTTAGAGAAATTATTATAATAAGTATTAATAATTGAAAGATCATAATAAAATTAATTTCTTTATCCCCTTTTATGTGCCCTTTTTCAATTTTTATTCGCAGTAATTAATGATTGCAATAAAGATTTATCGTTGCGATACAGTTTCATGTCCTTTATCATAAGTTAATTAATTTATAATTATTAATAATTATATCAAATTATGTTTTGATACTAATTTAAACCGTATTTAGAAAAAATATTTGATAATATGCGAAGCATTTCGAACCATTACTTTATTGCTCGAGTGTCACCATGCGAATTATAACGAAGCCGTGACATATAAACAAAATTGCGCTATTGTTTATATTGTTTATATTGTCAAAGACGAACATCGTGTTACTGATAATTGTCAAAATATTTTACGTGTTATAACATACGTATATATGAAAATATTAAATTGTAGAAGTTTTCGAATTTATAGATTAATTAAACGATTATTTATTTTTCAATTAATTAACATAGTATTTCGCATCACTATTTTAGATATTTTCTTTAGACAATATAAAACTGCGCCACAAAATATCGCAAAATATCGCAATATAAATAAATCTAAATTATCCCTAGATACAGAATAATACTTTGCGTTCCAAGATATCGCATTGTAATTAAGCCTATATTATCCGTAGATAATTAATATTACACTGCACAATATTACACCCACAAATATCGCAAAATATCGCAATATAAATAAACCTAAACTACCTCTAAATACAAAATAATACTCTGCATCCCAAGATATCGCAAAATATCGCAAAATATAGCATTGTAATTAAATCTATACTATCCGTAGATAATTAATATTACAGTGCGCCCATAAATATCGCAAAATATTGCGAAATATCGCAATATAAATAACTCTAAACTACCCCTAGAGAGAGAGAGAATAGAGAATATTACTTTACGGCACAGATCGGGGAAAATTTCTAAACTTTACTGCTCGAATGTCATCGAGCAAATGATAGCAATACCATAATATACAAATAATAGCATCCCACATAGCATATTATATTAAAAGGTAACGAAAAGATGTCTTTTTTAAGTTATATTTTTGATAAAACGAAAAGATGTCTATGAAGACATCTTTTCGCTTTGTCGAAAAAGAGGATATAAAGAGACAATAATAGTATTTGGCACGTGTATCTTCGCTTGCCGCTACGCGGCAAGCCACTCTTAACCTTTTTCGTATTTAATATTTATTACGAAATGTATATAAAGAATTAGTAATTAATATAAAATTTGAAGCATATTTTTGCCTTTTACGAGCAGTAATGCCAGAAAGAGGATACAGCTCGCACGCATCAATTAGAGAGAGCCACATACGAATGTACGCATTGTATGCATGTGAGTCGCATCTTTTTCCTGACATTACTGTTTATCAGTTTAATTTCTGACAAATTGAATTTAAAATAAATTATTTATATATATTTATTTATATAATTTATTAATAATCTGGATTCCTTATTGAGATTCAGAATATTAAACAGATTATTAGAAAATAAGCGGATAAATTAGAGAATTAGTCCATTTATTGTGTATATTGAAGTATTTCTGCTACCGGGTGTCGATAATCTATATAGAATGAATCAAGTCATTTTTTAGTCAACATATGGACAAGACTAAAAGGTCACTGAATTTGGATCATGAGACGACTTTTAGCCATCTTTTCGTTGACTTAACGATGTCAGTAATAGATGTCTGTGACAAAAAAAATATCCAGTTTTAGTAGTACTTTTAGACGACTTGATACTGTGTTGGATATTATAATAAAAATTAATATAGTTTTCGTAATAATTATATATATATATATATATATATATATATATATGTATATATATATATATATATTTATGTATGTATATATATATATATATATATGTATATATGTATATATAATTTGAAATTAACAAAAATTAGTTTTTATTTTGTCTATATTAAAAAAGTGAAAAATATGTTTTGTTAACTATGGTTTTAAAAACGTTACCTATTAATGTCTTACGATTAAAAAATATTGAATACGTTTAAGAAACATATATAAAATGAATGTGTGCTACCTCGGGCATCATAGCATATTTTAAATTATTTATTGACGACAGCCACGTGTCATAAAACGTTGTGTTACGTCGTCTATTAACAATTGATAATTAAAGGTTAACTGTCCATTTGATATCAATCTCCGCGAGTGGAAAAAATAAATTACAAGCGGAATGAAGCTAATAAGACGTCATGGCAACAGATTAATCATTCGAAGCCAGTTACTATTGTGATCGCTAGCGAAACACACTACCGCGTTACTTATCGTTTGATTCAAACTGCATCATATGAATATTACAAAAATTGTGTACAAATAGTGGATTTTGAAAAGCATACGTAGTAACACAATTGTATATAGTAACACAATCGTACGAACGAATCGTCATAATTATATATTTAACAAAATCAAAGATATAGTAAATACTTAAATGAATTCGAATACACTCTGCGTGTGCTTGAATATGACTGAAAATGTTACAAAATCTATAATTCTATAACTTCTTTAATCGTTTGTAATTTGATTGTGGTTATCTTTTTATCGATGTTTTTCTACTACAATATTAATGAAAACGAAAAGCTGATAATAATTATATTCTTATATTCGTGATACATTCCAATGAATATGTATCATTTTGCATTGTCATTTGTTCTCCTACAACAAAAATAGAAACTATTTACTTACTAAGAATTCTCTAATTTAATCTTAAAGTATATACTGTGATTGCGATCATAAAGAGAAATCTAAAAACATAATTTTAAAAGATAATAACTTGCGATTCGTTAAAACTGAGTTTTAAGGAATTTAATGAAAATATATGTATATATATGAATTTAATGAAAATATATGTATATATATATGAAATAATATCAATTCGATTAACACATCATAACTAGTAGATGTGAGAAAAATAACTAATTGAGGATTTATCGGAAACCGATTGAGTGCAAACGTTTACGAAAAATGCAAATTATGTTTGGAACAATTTTATGTATTTTATTGAAAGGTTTAATACTGACAAAAGCAACTATTACGCCGAAGGATTATATCACTTCAAATAGCCTCCGGGAAGAAAATGTTTACATGTATCCGGATTTAAATTTCACGCAGGTAAAAGATATTTTCGCTTGATTAAGAAACAATTGAATGTTATTGCAGTAGTGTAACTAAAAATGAATGGTAATAAATTATATATTCTACCTATAATAGGATAAGATTAAAAAAAGACAATTCAATTAAATTATTGAAGTTTTGTGTCTACTATTTGCTACATTAATATATACATACGATGGCGCTTCAACAGATTTTTATGTTATTTTTCTTCAATTTTTAAAATTTATTTATTTTCTTATATATATATATATATATATATATATATATATCATATTTATTGATATATAGTAAGCTTTATACTAATGTAAATTTTATTTTATGAAATTAATTTAGAAAGTTAGCATCATTTCGACAATATATTCAATAATAATCACTCGAATTTATATTAATTTTCATTGTATATATGTCCATTTATATACAATTATATCCACATATTTTTATGGATTATCGGTTTATACTATCGATTCATACTATCATTTCTAGAATCTGTTTGTATTAAGAATATAACAATATTTGAAAAAAAACTTGAAAAAGTTATAAATAAAAGAATTTATATAATTTTATGACTAATATTTAATAACTGTAAAGAAACGAAATTTTTATTTTTGAAATCTTTTTATTTTTGAAGTACAAACATTAATAAAACTTTAGTAATAATGGCAAATTTTTGAAAAGAAATTTGATTTACGTAAAATTGTTAAAATTGGTAAAATTGAGAAGAGTTAACTAACCTATCATGAGAAAGAATCAAATCGTTCGACAAAATTGTTTTAATAATTGCAAAGAACTACACTTTCGCTTGTACTACTTGCTGTACTAAAAGCTGTTATGATTCTTCATTGACTCTCGTTAGCCTTTTGATTGATTTTATTTTTGACATGAGATATGTTAGATATATAAGATGCCTTCAAAAAATAAAAAAAAATAGATTTTACGATATGAATAAAACTACATCACATTCAATTTATATTATTTAGGAATGGTATATACCGGTATTATTAAGCAAACAAAAAACAAATGGCAATTTTTCGTTTAATTTTATAATTTTATAATTTTATAATTTTATAATTTTATAATTTATATAATTTACTAATATAAACAACCTTCAACGATATAATATTCACTTAATTCTTTTCATATGTTATACTTTATGGAAGGATATTTCAATGTCCGAGAAAAGTGATCATCATATACTTAATTTCAAATCTGAAAGGAGTTATTCTGATAGTATGACTGTGAGAAAAGAACGAGAATTCGAGGTTGAGGTTGCATTTGCAAATATTTCTATCACCCCAGAATCTATCGGTAAGTTGCAAAAAAATGCATAAAACATTAATAACAAAATCTATGACGAAAAAGTGTAAATATAATTTAAATTCAAGAGAGAATGGAAATCAAAAATATTTTCCAGTAGTAAGAAGAATATAAATTCTATTCCGTCCAAAAAAGAAATAAAAAAAGCATAATATATATATTACAGTATACATAAAAATTGTCATAATTTAAAGTCAATTTTATTAATTTGATACTCTGTTCTAAAGCAGTCACAAATATTATACCTCTGATTTCTTAAACTATAGGAATTTATCGAAAAATACTTGTCATTTTATTAAATGTTATTTATTCGTTTTTGCCATGAATTAACGATTACTTTTCTAAATCTTAAATGACACAAAAAATTCTTATATTATTTTTTAAAGGTCAATACTGTGCTAATTTCCGTATTCTGTAGTTTACATTTATTTTTTTGTAGTTTACATTTATTCCTTTATTTTCACATTATATTGTTTTTTTCTGAGATAATTCACTTAATCTTATATATAATTATAATATATATAATTAATACGTATGCTCTTAAAATCTCTAGAAAGCAAGCCAACATCTCTCAGAGCATTTGTACAATCCGACAGTCAATTTACAGAAAAAGTAAACGACATTTTTGTGACATTGAGGTAAGCAATCTAAATTCCCAATTTGTATTCTTTTATTTTTCTCTCTTTTTCTTAAATTCGACATATAAATATATCAAAATTTTAATTCTGTTATAATTTTGATAATTGTAAAATGACTAAAATTTTATGTTTTTACAGATGGAACCAACCTGAATTTACCGATGAAATAATACAGGGATACACAGTGCAATGTTTTTTCATTGAGGACTTAAAAGAGATTCAAATCTGCGATGATAAAAATATCACAACTATAAAATTGGAGCACACGGTGCATAATTTAACATCTAACACGACATATTATTTTCGAGTACGTGCGCATACTAAAATTGTTGCTGGTCCTTACACGGATTTAATCAATGTGTCGACTACGCATGAAAATCCAATACCTAAATTTTTACTCAGAACTGATCTAGATATGAAAATATTGGACGTGGATTTAAGAATTAATAATACCTTAATATCAGGGTTCGTATAAAAAACGTACAGATAAAAAAAATAGTTCTATTATCATAAATTATTTTTAATACTAAGTATAAAATTAAGTTATTATTATTATGCACAAGTTTATTATTATCAACATTATAGCAATAATAACTATAAAATTGGAAATCTCAAATATAATTTTTACTATACAATTATAGTTCCTTTTTTTCAAATCAGTAATAGGATATAGCTCTTTTTTTTCAGATCAGTAACCTATGTCGCCTATTCGATACAGGAACATAGAATTTATTGGCTAACAGAAAGAGACCTAATGACATTGAAGATTAATGAAAATAATATCACAAAAATAGCTAGCTTTGATAATTATGCATATAGTCTCAGCATTGACTGGGTAGCAAGAAATCTATATATAGCCTATATAAAAGACTACTCTTATATTATAAAGTTCGACTTAACAATGTGGGAAAATGGCATAATTAAATTTGATGAGATTTACAAATCAAAAAATGATATTCTCCGTTTAAGTGTATCACCGTCTATGGGGTACGTTTACTACCGTTCACCTGAAAAAATAATTTTCCATTAAAGATTTATGCATATTTATAATTTTTCTATAATTTTACGTGGTTTTATAATTAAGATCATAAGTAAAAAAAAATAATAAGTTATTATATAATTAGAAGAATTTCGAATTTTCATTACATATAAGTTTCTGTTTTGTTAAAATAATGTTTTATAATGAGTAAAATAATTACATATTTTTTAGAATTTTATATATTCACGAATCATACAAATTGATAAATAAAAAATATCGTATGAGGAAGTTTCATCGAATGATGAAGTATCATCTGGATGGAAAAGTCGAGCAAATTGTTCAGATAAATAAATGCCTATTTGATTATATTATAGATTATATTCCAGATCCTTTTCATAATATGATAATTGATAATATGAATAATGAGGTGCCGTTAATTTACTGGTTAAGTAATGATTACACATTTGTGACAGACATTAACATTTCTATGTGCAATACGATTTTATACAAGGAAAACATAAGTGATATCACCTCCAGTTTCAAATCTATGACGATTGACAAAAAAAACATTTACATTTTAACAAGTGATTATTGGGATGAATTTTCTCTCTATGTTTTGAAAAAGAAATATGCAAGTCTCAAGAGCGTAAATGCAGCCGAATATGTTGAAAAGATAATAATAAGCTCACATAAATTGGTTCGTGAAATTCACGCTTTTGATAAATCTCTACAACCATATCCTCCAATGAGATGCCTGACACCTGACGAGAAAGTTTATAATTTTGAGAATGTGAATGCAACACCAAACAGCATCATTGTGAATCTTCCGGAACCGGTTGTAAAGAATGGATGCAAAAAATATAATTTACCAACTACTATATATACTATCTCTGTAAGCTGTTTAGACAACAATCTCAACAAGTCTGAGAAATTCAATGTGCTACGATATGTGACATTCGAGCGATATTACGAGATTCAGAACTTAACATCGTGTACAGAGTACCAGTTGAAGTTTACTTTAAGCAATTTTTACTTTGATCAATTATCAATAAATCCATTTGATTCGAATGTGATACCAATAAAAACTAATTCCGGTAAGTTTGATGCACCAGAAAACATAAGTGTTTTAGCTTTGACGTCTACTATAGCAGTAGTTCATTGGATGCCACTCAAGAAAGTGAATTGCGTGACCGTGACATACGAAGTGCGTTGGATGTCAGTTACATTAGTGAACGGCACGCAACACAAAGAGCAAACAATTTATCAATATGCCGAAACGTAAGGCAGACGGTAGATTTTTCACAAAGATTAACTTGTCGCTACCAGTACAAAATTACTTGATATACGTACGTGTATATTCAAATAATTTCAGCGATTTCTACAACGATAGTTTAAGCAACTTCGTTCACATATATTCAGAACCAAACAATATTACTTTGAGCGAGGTCAACATAAATAGCATGAACATTTCGTGGATTTCAAACATTAATCTGACGATCTTTTGTATACTAGAGTACAAAGATATTATAGCAGAAAAGTGGCAAACAATGAATTATATTAAAATGAATTATATTAAAATGAATAACAGTGAAGTAATATACAATGTCGAAAATTTACAATCGGGAACTTTATACAAGTTTCGCTTGATATTGAAATACCTCGAATACGAGGAAAATTTTATATGGCTGGCTGATGAAAGATTTACTTTTTCAACAAGTGGTAGCAAACGTGATAAGCAAATGAAAATACCCATACAGCACAATAAGATTGCAGATATATTGAAGAATAATTTCATTGAATCAATGCAATATTGCAAATTATTGGGATGGAGGGAAACTTAATTTTCGCGGGGTCGGTTTTCCCCCTAGAAAATAAAGTTTTTATTACGGACATTTTTTCGTACGATGCGTATTTCTTGAGATATTTCGATGTCTGAAAATAAAAAATTCACCTTGTATTTATTTACATGTGAAAGTGCATAAAAATGCATAAAAAAATATAATAATAGACACAATAGTATCTATTCTTAATAAGAACATATATTATCTTTGAAGATTAATATCGTATTCGTAAATGAAGTGAGAATATATTTGTAATATTGCAATATTGTTACAAAGTAATTGTAATATTCTGTGCTGCATTGATATTGTTCTAATTTTTTTAGATATGAATATCCCTAAAATTAAAAAAATTATATTTTGTATTAAAGTTATAAGTAAAATTAAATTTGTAAAAACATACACAGACGAAGATATTAAAATTATATTTTTGCTTAATATAGATATTGCGAGCACTCCTGGAATAATAGCGAAAGAATATTACTTATTATTCATGTTAAGTTTTATCGTTATAGTTACTATAATCTGCATCTGCTACATTAATTATTGTAAGTATATTTGATTTAGGTATCGACTTTAATTAGTAGATTATACATATATATCTGATATAATATCTAAAACTTTACTAAAAATAGTAATTTACGTATATAAAACTAAACAAATAAATTTACTAAAAAACAGTGGATTTTATAATACATATTATTATATAATTAACTCGAAATTTTACAACAGTATATCGTCAACGCAAAGATAATAATGAACAATTTTTGACTTCAACAACGGCCGATGTAGAATTGGCGATTCTACATGAAGTACCTTGCCGAAACACTCAAGTCAATATGATTTACAGTCGTGTGTCTATATTTCATTATAACCCGGACGAATATGCGATAACTAAAATCGCACGAAATCAAATTACATTCACAAAACATCTTGGTAGCGGCGCATTCGGAATGGTAAAAATTAATGTTTTCAAGCAATATTTCAAATTAATTTTTGAATTAACAAAACAGATACGTATTTTCTAATAAAGATATATATTACATAAATTTTTTTAATAGATTACAAGTGATATAAAATTTACACGAGACAACAAGCATGCACTTTATTATATATTTTTCATTGAATTATTTAATATAAAGTAAAATATAATACTACTTGACATTAAACTATACATTTTCTAATAAAGTACGTATATAAATTTGTGTGAAATATTTCACAGGTGTATCAAGGAAAGGTGAAGGATTTAGAAAAATCGGGCATAGAGATGTCCGTTGCAATAAAAACGCTTCGAAAAGATGCTACTCCCCGTGAGAAAGAGAAATTCTTAAAGGAAGCCAAGCTTATGAATCATTTTCAACACAAACATATATTAAGATTGTTGGCCGTTTGTTTAGATGGAGATTCTCCGTTGCTAGTGTTGGAATTGATGGAAACTGGAGATCTGTTAAAATATTTGAGAGAATGTCGAAATTTGCAAGCGTCAGATTCGCTTGCTCTGCGTTTGCAAGATTTGCTCGCTATATGCGAAGATGTTGCGCGAGGTTGTTGCTACTTGGAAGAGTTGCGTTTCGTACATAGAGATCTAGCGTGTCGCAATTGTTTAGTATCTTCGAGGAATCGAGAGAATCGTGTCATCAAAATTGGAGACTTTGGACTAGCTAGAGATATCTACAAGGATGATTATTATCGCGTGGTATATACAATTATGGAAAAAAGTTAATAATTAAAAAATGAATTCTTCTAAAAATACATTCTATTTTTTTATCATAATAGTATCGTGCATTTTTTGAAGTAATATAGAATATAAGTAGTTTTTATTTATATATAGCAAGAGATAAATTAACGTTTTTCATTTTGCACACATTCTAAAAATGAACAACTTAAATCAGAAAATTAAATTTTTGTTTAAATCATGTTTTAGAAAGGAGAAGATTTGTTTCCTATTCGCTGGATGGCACCCGAATCTTTGATAATGGGAATATTTACTTCTCAAAGCGATGTTTGGTCATTTGGAATATTAATGTGGGAAATTACATCGTTGGGTGAGCAACCTTATAGTGCCAAGACTAATGAAGAAGTGATAAATTATGTACGTGATGGAGGCAGGTTGCCGATGACTCTTAACTGTCCGTCACCATTGTACCAGTTGATGCTACGTTGCTGGAGTGCAGCGGATGCGAGACCAAATTTCAAATTTTGTCTAGAAAATATTACAGCATTAAGAAAGAACATGGAAGATGCCTTACTGAGTCCAGTCGATACTATTTAGCCGATATAATTAAATTAATAATTATCTTATTTTCCAAACGATTTAAATTAAATCTTAATGTAAAAAAATTATTTCTAGAATTTTTCTAAATTGATTCTGTTATTTTTAAGTTTAATCTTAATATTAGATTTATCAATGAAGATAAAAGAAATTTTTTAATCTTATCTTCCATAAAATTTTGATTATTAAGAAATATCACATCCGTTTTTATAATTGTAAACAACGTAATATAATGATATATTTAATTTGTGTTTTTGAGTAATGGAAGCGAAACCTAATAATTGCGATTATATATATATATGTATAAACAATATTTTTTTCAACATGGAAATATAATTAATTTTTGACATTATATATAACCAATAATTACAAACTGATTGTAAAATTTATGAGTGAAAGAGGAAACGCGAGTAATATCCTCTATAATTATTTGTGAATATATAAGTATAATAATATAATTATATTGAATTTATAACAGTTATCATGCATGATTTTTTACATCATTCGGAATAAGTATATAGTTATATTTTATCTTTATATTTAATGATTTACTATATATTTAAATTATATTATTAATGTTTACAAAAGTATGCAATTGTATAAATGAACTATACTTATTGCTCTATCTCCACTTATTATATAGCTGATAATGTATAATATTTGCACACATTTCGGTCTATCATTTCGGAAGATCACCAAATACTGACAACGTTTTATAGATATGTATGATATTATGTGCATTATAAATAATATTAAATAACATATAAAGTTATATAAACCATTTCATAATCGATGCACAGATACAACGATGCAGTAATCTGGCGAGCACATTTTCTCGAATAATTCTAATGTTTATACTACAGTATACTAATATTCATAAATCCACAAGTTATAAATCTTAAGTTAAAATAAAGATGGATAGAATTATTGCGCGGAAATCACAAATATTTTAATATTTTAAATAATGCTACATATTAAATGAAATAGAAGTATTGCTCATCAGAGCGCCTTATTGGCTGTTATTTGTCAATTTTTAATTATCTTTAATTATAGAATTATGTAACACATTGTACATGACCGATCGCTAAATCACCGAGTCGAAATTGGAAATTATTGTGAGTATTGTTGTGGTAAATCCAGGTTAGTTTATTGTTATATCCAGACCCTTGAGAGGTCGGGCCATCTGGAAGAACGTAACCTACTTACCCGGTGACACACTTTTCGGGCGTGTGTATGGATCGGGCGTGTGTATGGGTCGAGCGCACTGTCCTGGGGCCTGACACAGGTCAGTGACCAGAATGGTCCCTTTAACTCCGTGAGTGTCTTAGGCCGTTACGCTCGTTTGTCCCTTTTTGGTGAGAAAATCGAATCTCTTTTACACGGGACGGGATCTTGTGCGATTTCGGAAATGAATGGAAATGAATGGGAAAATGTAAATAAATTTATCCTTCACCATAAATCAAAATTTATTCAGATCATAACGCGTTTACAAAAAAAATGTTTTTATTGTGTGTTGTGAATGTGTAATTTCGCGGGTGTTACAATAGTACGGAGGACATCAGCCAGGAATAATTAAAAGGAGTTTTAAGGTAGCTAAATCCTGGCTGGATTTTACAATGCTTTGGTGGATTTTTCTTATTTAGTCTGTAAGGAAAGGATTTAAAAGATTAGATTAAGGAGGGAATAAAGATCAAGGGTCATCGAATTGGATGGTGGATGGAGGAAATTTCCTTAGCAGGGCTTGGATGGGAACGGCGAGCGGTAAATGTCCAGGGAGGTACCAAGGAATTATCGAGTCAGGAGGGACAGTAGTTAAATAATGAAGGAATTCTTCGTGGTCCACATCACCGGGACCCACGCAAATAGATCCTTATGGAATGGGGAAATCGAGGAGGGGATATAAAGTAACTTAGTTGGTCATGATGGGAAGGTTCAGGTGTGGATTGGGGAGAGGATGTTCCGACGGGGACTCTGAGGGAAAGTCAAAAGGATGGGAGCTCTCGTCAAGGTCGGGAGGATATCTTGCGAAATCCTCCGGATCCTCGAGAAACTCTGAGGACTCTGAGGAGGTGGAAGGGGATAAAGGATCGGAGGGTAATTACAAGTATGAGAGACGGAGATCGCGACTCGAATAAAGGTGAGGGAGAAGGGGAGGGAGAAGGTTCGGGTAAAATCGGGGTAGGAGATCGCTGAGGTGACGCAGAGAATAGTGGTGGACTCGGGACAAGTGTGCCGGGGAAGGAAGGGGAAGGCGTTAGAGAAGAGATAGGGGAGTAACTAGGTACAGAGATCGAGGGGGTTTTGCTGAGTGAATGTGTGTTAGTGTCACGGTGTGTGTTGTCAATGGGCGAGAGGTTACTAATACTATTCGATCTATCGTGATGGGGGAATTCCGGCGTGGCTTGAGGCTGTTCCCCCTTAGAGTGCTTGTTCTGGCGATTCCGCCACCGCAATGCAGCCCGGCGTTTACCGTGAGGCACTAATGATAATTTCACGGTCAAGTAATTTATGAATTCGCAAATATAACCCTTCCTAATTCTATCTCTATTGTCATTGGGAGAAGATTATTCAAGGTTAGACAAAATAATAATTAGTCCCAAAAAAATTTTACTTCTACTTTTATTTAGATTGTATAGTTAAGAGAGTATTAACATATAGAAAATAAAAGAAATAACATAGTTCGAAAATGGATTCGAAAATAGTTGGAATTTTGAAGGAGTCGAAAGAGGAATCGGCTCTCGAAGATTTAATTAAGATTAGGAATTACTTGTGAACTGTGTTATAGAGATTCTAGATGAACAAGGAGTTGTTCGTGAATCGCCTTGCGGAGATTTTCGACGAACAGGGAATTGTTCGTGAACGGCCTTCCGCAGATTCTCGACGAACAAGGAATTGTTCGTGAACCGTCTTACGGAGATTCTCGACGAACAAGGAATTATTCGTGAACCGCCTTGCGGAGATTCTCGACGAACAGGGAATTGTGTAAAGGTGGATTAAGGAAAAGGAATGAGCCAGAGAAGAAAGTTTAAATAGTTGATTTAAAGAAATGAAGATGAAATGAAGATAATTATTTTATTTGTTGATTTAGGTAAAAATAAAAAAAGATATCTTTCCCAATGACAACTTAATCGTAGAAGGTTAAAGGGAGTATAATCAGATGAGACTTACTAATTATTGAGTGCGTCGACAAATGAAAATTTCTGGTTCAGGCCGGAGCGTGAGTTTGCAGGGCAACAACTGGTTGCCCGTGAACTGTAACGTCTGCAGCAGCCCAGGGATCACACTCACTTCAAATTCACTTCAAATTCACTATTTTGATTTCCCCTTTTTTTTTAATATTGCGTATTGAACTGGCGGTAAAAGAAATTCGGATAGCAAACGATAGCAGGCGGAAAAGTCTTGAGAACTAACTGTGCGCGGAGAAGAGTAAGCAGAAAAATCCTGAGTCTAATTGTGTGTCCGGGCTTTCGGCTCGTGAATTTTAAAGTTTTTGCTCCTCCTCCCTTCTGGATGGTGGAAATCTTTGAAAATCGAATCAAATGATTTCTATTACTCCCTTCTTAGGGCCAAAAAGTTAGAGTTTCAGTAAGAGAGGAGTGTCTTAAGGTTTTAATTGGTTAAGCCCTTTTGCGCGAGATTTAGTTCCATGTAGAGAGTGGGAGCGAGGAGCTGATTATCTTATCACTTAATGATTTGACGATTGAGAATGGCCTATCGAACGAGCGCACGTGCAATATTAATTTCTGAGGTTTGTTTTATGTTTACCTTTGGTCAATTTCTCGAGGACCACAGGCTCTTTGTTTAATATCTCTAAGATGAACCAAGTTATAACCATAGATACGGGTGGTTCGAATTTCTTATACTTACGAGTCTCATAATTCAAAAGTTTGTTTAGATTTTCCTTAGCGCTATTTCGATTGGCCACTCTCAGTGTTTGGGCTAACTATTTATTTAAGCGAGTTAGGTTCCGTTTCCATATTTCAAATTCGAGCCTATCTTTAATTACTTCTAAGGTAGCGTTTCGATGAAAGAAAAGAATCGTGAAGTCCACCGGACGTAACATTATCAATGAAAAAGTTTGACTAGATTAAGCTTAAGATTAAGATTAAACTGCATTCACAAAAAATATTGACACATGTATGGAAAATGAATTCTACATATATTCTTTTATATTCTAATATATTTCATTTTTTCATAATACAATATTAACATTGCACTTTTAATTTTATAATATCTACAATAACTACAATGTGTACAATATCACAATATCCTCATAGAAAAAAAATTAAAAAATTATTTATGTATTATTTTAAAATATGTATATTATATATCCTAAATTTTCTTTGTACGAACGCAGGTTTACTTTTACAATTCCATTCAATTATCATTATGAGGATCTCTATTACCAGTATGAGGATTACATTTCTCAGTCGAAGGCAAATATATATATGGTTACGGTAATTGCGTTACAATCATACCAATAGTATGTTTAATTTTTTTCTTTATTTCAAGTTTAATCCTCACGATGTTAAGTCTATCCTGTATATAACAGATATCGTCAGAGAGAAGACTGAGAGATGTCATGGCCTGCTTTTAGGTGATCCCTGAAGGCGATACTCCTTCTATGGACATTGAAAACGTGGACATGAACTACAAAGCCAATGCCCATGAATTTTCTTAGAAAGTAATATATAATTGTGCACAATTTCTGGTTTTTTCATTGCTATGTGCACGAAATGTCGGTAGCACCAGTGCTGCTATAACAAGATACTTCTGTATGTAAAATTGATAGTAAATAAATTATTTAATCGCGAAAGATACTTTAATATTTAAAGATAAAATAAATATTTTTCTATATTCATTTCATATTTATATCTTTTTATTAATAAAAACACAAAATGTCTGCTGTGGAGATTAAAAACATTTTTAACCGTTATTTCTATAAATCTTCTTAATTAGCAGTAATTTGATCTTGTATTTATCAATCATTTATTTTAATTATTTAAAAAATTTAAATTATTAATACATG